ATAGCGACAGACGGACAGATGTATGTAAGAACGTACGAGCGCACGGATATACGGACGGACAGTTGCTGTGGTGGAAGATAAAGGGGAGAAATTGAAAACGGGATGTATTATTCTCTTTCACGGCAATAAATCCCGCGCGTACTGTCTCTCTCTCTCTCTCTCTCTCTCTCGCATTATTTCTGACCAGACGATGCTTATGTCGGAAATTTATGAAGCCCGTGGCAGATTCTCGTTTTGCCGTGTCTGTCGGGCTCGCGCGGGCGAGCGTCGCGTGAGTTCTTCACACGATAATTACACGTATTTCGTTCGAAAAATTCTCCTGCGATCGAAAGCAACGGTAACATAATTCGCAGCCCCCGATTTAACGCGAAATCGGTTTGCGCTCGCGAGAGAAACGACGGTGATTGTTGCGTCAGTGCGCCTTCTCTACCCTCGTTGTCCATACGTGTACATACACTAAGCACGGCCGCGTTTCGTTGAGAAATTCGCCCCGATCTCTCGGAGCCGTAGCATAATATAATTCGTACCTGCGCCACCCGGGGCGATTTGTTCCCGCTGGAAATTGCGGTCGCGTGTATATTTCACGAGGATCGCCGGGTATCGATTAATCGCCGATTACGGTCGAACTTCATCGGATCTGTCATTTATCACCGTGCATCCGCTTCTCGCGCGCACCGCCGGTCCCAAGGACTCCATCAGGCTTTTTTCGAAGGACGTTCCCTCTGTCTGCCCTCTCTTCCTCCATCTTTTCTTCTTCTCCTTCTGCTTCTTCATTCTCTATCTTTATCTTCCTCTCCTTCCTTCTTTCTTTCTTTTCCACTATCTCCGCCGTTCCTTTCCTCTCCTCTTTTTCGCTCTCTCCCCGTCGTCGCGAAACCGTGTCGTAATTCCTCGGGCGGCAAAAAGTACGCGCACAATGTTGCGCACCGAGAAGCGGCGGCAGCTCGTGCGCGACAGCGCGCTTTACCTACCGATTTCGCGAGATTGCGAATAGCACGAAATTAAGAACCGCCAGAGCGAGTAATTACGAATTTTCAAAACGAGGAGAGAGCTAGATTCCAGTCTCTGCCGCTTTCGTGGTGAATCGTCCTATAGGGACTGTTTGAAATAGGAAGGTCACGAAGTACTTTGGATTCAAAGACGATAATCGAGTCGAGTCAACCTTCTTCTGTCTCATTTTCGTCCAAGAGCGTCGCGGTTTTTCCTTGCGGAGAAGGTACAGCATAAAAATCCTTATATATATATATATATCCCTGTTAAGTCCTCCTCTGTTAAAAAAAGTAGGAAACGACCACCGACTGCTTATCCAATATTTTTGTTTTTACTGCTTCATTGTCTTGGTTTATCTCGTAGACCTGATTTATCTTAAGTTTACGATATATATTTATTTTTTTTTTAATTCTTTCACGCATCTCATGTCTTATCAGATCGAATCGCCGGTGCTCTCGACTCCATTGACCCGACTGTACGACGCAAATAGATGCATTTACATATATCTTTCACATTTATAACGCAAATCGAGCGGTTTTAGTGTAACAGAGATGTATATTACTTTCTGTTTCATTTATTTATTTTTTTCTAAGAACTTGAGAAGGTTAATTTAAAAATCGAGAAAAAATGTTAAAATTTTATACCATTTCTCACCGTGAGCTGTCTCCTTTCTTTTTTAAAGTAGTTTAAAGGAGCAGCAAGCTGCATCTACCGCTGCATCTCTCTCATTCTACGAATTCTCCAACTATAATTTCATCTTTTTTCTCTCTGATTTCTGAACTCCTTTTTATTCGATTTTAAATGAATCGCATTCGATTTGATCTACAATATTGCACGATTCGACTACTCGTCATCGTCTTTGAATACCACCAAGTACTCGTTCACGTCGTATTCTCGTTCGACTCTCGGGAACTTTGGCGGCTGCACAAGTACATGTTAGATATATTTTGTTGCCAAAAACGTATGTCGAAGATGAACACGCATATGCCCGAATATATCTCTGTTAGGCGAAATAGAGACTAGAATATCGATATGTGTATGGTTTTTCGCTTTCTGTCAAGCCAGTCACGTTCTGTCTTCCATCCTCTTCTTTTTCTTCTCTTCCTCTCTCTCTCTCTCTCTCTCTCTTCTTCCTTTTCTCTCTCTCTTTCTCTCTCGCTCTCGCTGTCACGCCAGAATTTTCACGCGTGTCATCTTTCTGCCCTACATGCTTGCCTTCCGGGACACAGGAGGTACAGCACAAAAACCCTTATATGTATATATTATTTATATATATATATATATATATATATATATATATATGTATGTATATGTATATCCTTGTTAAGTCCTTCTCCTTTAAAAAAAGTAGGAAACGACCACCGACTGCTTATCCGATATTTTTATTTTTACCGCTTCATTGTCTTGGTTTATCTCGCAGATCTGTCGATTTATCTTAAGTTTACGAAATATATATATTTTTTTTAATTCTTTCACGCATCTCACGTCTTACCAGATCGAATTATAGATTTGTTAACCTTATTTAAGCAGAAATAACGATGCTGGTATGTCAGGTATGTAAAGGAGACTTAAAACAATTCGGATACGCGGTACCTGTACCAAACTCGTCGACTGGATTACTCGCGTATCTCTCATTGCATGAAAAGATAAAAATAATATAATACTACTACTGTCTTGATCCTATCCTAAAATTCTCACTGAACTTTAATTTCTATTTATAGTTGATTTCTGTTCATAGCTTTATTACATATTATTAGGTGTTTGCAAAAGTTCATATGATATTAAAGTTATTTTTATTTATTAATACTGAAATGAAATATAATATGTTAATCAAAATATTGGCTGTTGCTATCAATAACTTTTTGCCATCTTTCGGGCAACAATTTGATAAAATAACTTATCTTTTGAGGTAATTCATTCATCGATCCATTTTCGGACTTTCTTAACATTTCCGTATATCAGACAGATTGTGCTGCATTGATCTGAATAAATGAAAACCAGATGGGGTGATGTCTGGAGAATACGCTGGGTGTGGCAGGACTTCCTAATCTAACTTGAACAACGTCTCTTTAGTTGCAATAGCAACATGCAGTCTGGCGTTGTCAGCATGAAGCAGGATGACTTTGCGTCAATTCATGGCTATTTAAAGGAGTTTTTTTTCATAACTTGGTTCAAAGGCTATAATTGTTGATTGTAGCAATCTCCTACGATTATCTGCCAGTGATAATATCCTTCCAAATACGCAGGAGAATCTTATGAATATAGATGTTGCGTTTTGTTGTGGTCAATGGCTAGCCAGGATCAATCCATAACTGTATGTATTTATGATTTTCAAAATAGACCCGCTCTTCATCACCCGTGTAACTATTTACCACAAAAAATTTTTTTTTTTCAGTATTTGGCAAGTCATGAGAAACAGACGGTAGGCTGGTTCGCAGTCGCATTTGTAGAGAGATCATATGGAAGGCATCTTTCTTCTTTCTGGATCTTTTCTTACTTTACTTACTTTAAAAGAGCGGGATATTGTTAATCTATCAATTCTAAGTTGCCTTGCAAACTCTTTTAATATTTCAGCCGAATTTTCATTGAGTAATTCATTGTTTTTCATCTTGTTTGGGTGACCACAATGTGGTTTGCCTTTAACATCGTAATCACCATTTCTAAACCTTTTAAATAACTTCTCATAGGCAGTAGCAGACACAAGATTCTCTCCAGGTCTCACAAATCAATTTCTTACTTGTTGCAGCAATTTTACCAGTTAAAGTGGTAAAGTACACAGTAGCGAAGATGAACTGGTTCCATTTTTAACCGCGTTAAATATGACGCTCCATTTCGAATTATAAATTATAAGTCGTCAATTTTGACCCAATATGACCAATAATTAAAAACTAAAAAGTAATTTAAAGAAAAACAATTATTAAGTCACTGCTACTGCAATATATTTGTGATCTTATGAATTTTTGCAAGCACGAAAAAAATAATACACATACTATATTATAGTATTATAAATAACATACACATTATTCATTTCAATATTTGGAAAACAAAACACTTTGGGACATATCGTCATAAGACTTTTTCATCATAAAATAAGCCAAGGAATATCCCTTAAAATTTTTTCTACTTACTTAGAAATTACCCTATATATAGTGTCCCATTTTTAATGACGACCTCAAATATCTCTCGAACAATGTATTTTAAAGAAAAATATAAAAGTTTCACATAAAAGTTGGAGGGTTTAAAAAGATTTATTTTCTAATCATATCAGTTTGACCTTAGGTGAAGACGTTAGTGTCAAATGAAGATCAACTTCATTTATTTTAATGAAATCATATAGTTTCCGTTCTTTAACGAATTCCTCTATTTATTCTGCGTATAAAAGTACCAGAGTAAGATTATCGAAAAGCGAATATTTTTAAAGATATATTACTTTTCATTCTCATATTTTTTAAATTTAAGATATATATATCTCATAAAGTATTCACTTCTCAATAACATCACCTTAACGGTTTAATAATATGAGAGCAATCGACTACTGATGTTAATCATTGTTACTGATATAATACATTAGTGCATCAATGTATTTGCAAAATATAATGAATTTTTTTTCTTTCATTTCTCGATGATCGTATACTAGTATTTTTTACACAGAATAAATAGAAAAGTCGTTTTTTGTATTAAGAAAACTATATGATTCTACTTATAAAAATGAAGTTGATTTTTATTTGACTTTGATGTCTTCATCCAAGATCGAACTGATAAAATCAGTAAATAGATCCTTTCAAATCCTCTAACTCTTATATAACACATATACATTTTTCTTTAAAATATATTGTTCATGAGATATTTAAGGTCATTATATATATATGTAGGGTATCTGACACAAAGCGTGCCAAATCATATAAAATGTATACAAAAGATCAAGCTGAGAAAAGTACCTATATCACTTTATAAATTACTAACGTAATTACTACGTAAAATTTCGAGTTATTAATGAAAATAGATGGGCGAATCAACGCGCGCAATGCAATGTGCCGCATCGATCGACACGACTGATGCATTATGATGATACGCGGGCAGTACAGCGATAAACGATCCTCTACGAGCCGTTCAGATTATTTCTCCATCTTCTGTTGTCATCTGATACTCATTACTGCTATTAGGAAGTCGTGCGATCAGTCATTTTCTACACCGTTTAACCAAGCGCAGCGGTCCATCGCATCGCGTGCGCTGATTCTATCTATCCATTTTCATTAATAACTCGAAAATTTATTATGTGATACTTTACAAAATGATGTTGGTCTTATCTCTTTCATTCTCAGCTTGATCTGTTATGTACGTTTTGTATGATTTGGTACGCTTTGCGTTGGATGCCCTGTGTGTGTGTGTGTGTGTGTGTGCGCGCGCGTGTGTATACCTCGCGCGAAGCGCGCGCGTGGTCGTCTTAATGTATCTTCTGACCTGTGATGTTGTTGTTGTTGTTGTTTTTGCTTTTGCCTCATTTTGCACGGGGCGAAATACATTCCACACCCGTCACCACCAACCGCCACACGTCTGTGCTATCGTCTCATATTGTGGGGCCTATCTACGAACGCGCGCACAACCTCCCTTCATATGAACGAATACAAATACCGCGAAACCAAAAAAAATACGCGCCTTCCGGGCCCTCCACACCACCACCATCACCCTTCACTTCTCCGGTTGTGTTACGGATATACTACCACTGCTTCTTCACCTCTTTCGAGTGCCTCGCAGGTGGCCACTTGGTACAGGGTACGTCTTCACTATTACTAATAGCATGTGACCACGCCTTTTGTTCTTCACCGATCATCGTTCTCCTTCTCCCTTTTGTATTTGTCGTGTGAGATAAGTACGCACAGTGAAGAGAGAGAGAATCCAGTGACGACGTGGAGAAGGACGATGTTCGTAATTATTATCAGAATTATATTTAACACGATACATTTTTCTTTTTAGAAATATGTCGATTCATTGTGTTACGCTCTCTACTATGCGATACAGTTTTTCATATCATGATCGCGAATCGCATGTCCGATAAAAAGAATTTCACAATCATTTCATTTCGGGAGGAAGTTCATAGTCGTGTATAATTTTGACGTGACAATCGGCGCTCAGACACGTTGAATACAAATTGAATATAATTTTTTATATGTATGTAACGTCGTAACGTTGATTTATTAACTTTTAGTCTCGTGAGTTTGCAGAGAAAGTTACAGCGAAGCGCATTTGTTGTACAATCCGGCCGGTTATAGCAATGAAAGATTACGTAAAACGAATATATTTTTATATATTTTACTAACAAGATACAATCACATAACGATATTAATTATCAATTTTCTCATGTGTTTTTCTTTGTGCACAATGTTTTATGTATAACGAATATTTACGAATCGTATAGCAAAGCAAGTGCTTCTTTTTCGGTTTATTTCATATCGAGGAGTTCAAAAAAACCAAGAAGAAATTTAAATACACACACATGTACATATTGATTCTTTTCTTCTTCTTCTCTCTGCTCTGTAACTTTAAATAAACTGAGAACAAAGTATTCGTTTTTTTATACGATTATATAGCGTAGAATACTCAGTTTATTTTCTCTTGCGACATTTCCTTTTCTACGTCTACTGGATCTCTCGAATCGAATACTATGATATATAGTTGCGATATGAAATAGGGAGAATAACGGCATAACTTCAGGCATCCTCACGTGTAGTATATTTTCGCGAAATATCGATCAGCATGCTTGTATAGTGTACCCAGTTCATCGAGGCAGTTTAGCAACGCGATTATCCTTAACCATCGATATTCCTGCACGGTGTACTAGTTAACACAATTATCGCTTTGATATATTAAGTGCGACGGAATAGCGACAAAATAGTCGAATCGCATGGTTAAATTACGAGGAGGACATGAGAAGACGAGAGTTCGCGCGATTAATTCTGACGGACATTTATAATATCCACCGCGTGTGACATCGTGTTTCCGCGTGATTCGCGGCGGTTCTTCTCGTATCCGATTCTTTTCTATCGAACATTGTCTTAAGTACGCCTGCTTGGTTTGCGCAGCATACATTACTGATTTGAACTCTCTCGACTTATGTCCGGAAAATGTCGGGGAAAGCTTGATCCTGATAGATGATGAACGCATGCTCAATCGTAAAACGTTATATGTATCTGTACTAAACGGCTAAGCGCCGTAAGACGCGTAACCCGCAATTTCAATTTTCACCGTCACCAGAGCGATATTACTCGCCCAAGTTGTGTACTTTCTACGTTTAAATAAAATATCAGAAATTATGGGGTAACTCCCATGATACTTAGGCGCTCGTTTCATGACTTTCGTTTGCAACTGTAGTTCACTCGAGTGTGACATTTCAACGAGACTGCAAGTTTTTCTCATCGAGAAAACACATTCGACTGCAGATTACACACTGAGAAACATAAAGAGGTTGAATCGACAAAATCGACGGTCACTCTCGTTCGAAAAAATATTGCGTCTACTGAACGAATTGTGCGTTGTCAACGATACGGTTGCGTTGATATTATTGCCGACCAAATTGCGATTGTTGAATCAATTAATAACTCATTACAGCAACTGTATAATTGATTCGATAGACTAAACATTATGTTTAAAAACATTTCGTTCGTTTAAGTAAGATTTCGTTAATTCTATCATCATTTTTCCCTCAGTGCACGAATACGCATTGCACATACGTCGTGTATTGATGCACTGAAAAGAAAATGTTTAGTATTTGTGACTATAATCACATAAGTGAAAGAATTAAATTTTTCTAGTGTTACTATAATGTCAGCGATAATAACTTTACATGCCTTTTTTTTTATCGCTACTATCTATTTTTTGGGATTAAACTAAAAGAAAATGATAATTGAAGCCGAAAATGACTGTAATTGTAGTGACTATAATTCCCCTCAATGCGACGCGTACATTTAAAAGGCTGCAGTGGAAGAAAATATTTTCGTCGGCGCGAAGCAATGCTCCGCGTTTTGCATCATAATGCGCATTGTTGAAATACGAGGGCCTAAAAGACATCCGCGATTCTCAGCCGGGCAAGTGTCCTTGATCGAGGTCGCGCGCGCGCCATGCCATTGGCCTCCTTCGGCGCAAGACCATGCCGACCATCACTATGCGTCGCGATGCCGCTACTAATGTTGCTGCATGTGGTGACTTTCGTTTTCGCCGGGAGGTTAATGCAACCGTTGAAACCACATCGATTCCCGCGTTGCGTTCCTGCAGACGGGAAATTGCACCCTCTAACCGCCGTTCTATGACGACGGACATTTTTTTTCGAGAGAAACATTTGCGAATCTGTAAAAGAATACACCAAACGTCAAACCACAAGGCGTTTCGAAAGGCTAAATTAAACACTTTAAAAGCGCAAAAGGTCAGGAGAATATTTCAACTTTAAATGTTGCTCGGAATCAATTAACTCAAAGCACAGAATTCATTGATATACCTATTGGTAGTACAAATTAGTTCGGTCCGTTTTCAAAAGATGGCTCTGGCTGTTATGAATTTTTCATAATGATAGCTGATTTCGGTGGTTTCAGAAAGGTTAGACATCTGTCAATAATATTCAGTTTATATCGCTTTGAGTTTCATACAAAACCCCTGTTTTTCACTGTGTTGAATATGTCAAATTTTGTGTTAACTAAGCAGCATTTGCGGGAGGTTTTAGTTTTCTGCTTTAATTAGAAGAAAAGTGCAGCTGATGCACATCGAATGCTTGTAGAAGTTTATGGTGACAATGCTCCAACTGATTAATCATGTAGGGAATGGTTTCGACGTTTCAAGAATGGTGATTTCAGCGTTGAAGACAAGCCTTACTCTGGACCAAAAAAATTCGCTAAAAAAATTCGAAGACAAAGAATTGGAGGCATTACTCGATGAAGATCCGAGTCAAACGCAAGAGGAGCTTGCAGAATCATTGGGAGTTATGCAACAAGCAGTTTCCGTATGGAAACTGCCGTCCGGAATACGAGTAAAGACATGACAAAGTTATTCTTCTGCATGATAACGCTCGGCTTCATGTCACAAAAGTCGTAAAAAATTATTTGGAAACACTCAAGTGGGATATTTTGCCGCACCCGCCGTATTCGCCGGATATTGCTCCTTCTGATTACTGGTTGTTCCGACGGATGCAGCACGATTTGGCAGGTCACCGATTCACTTCTTTCGCAGAAATCGAAAATTGGCTCCTAACTTGGATCGCCTCAAAAGACGAGACATTTTTTCGAGATGGAATTCGAAAATTGCCTGAGAGGTGGGAAAAAGTAGTAGCCAGCGATGGACAATACTTTGATTAATCTGTTCATTCATTTTGTTCTGAAATAAATGCATTTTTGACCACAAAAAAACGGACCGAACTAATTCCCAATAATATTTGCTACCAAATTATTTGACACAATATAATATACTTTAAGAATATAACAATTCTTGATTTTGTTACTACTTCCTAAGTACCGAAAACAATTACTTTCATCCATTGGTTAGACGCACTTGAGTCCAAAACTCCAAATCAAACTTCAGCAAGAAATGCAACATCGCGAACCTCAGATTATGATGCGATTTCGCGCATGCTAGCGTTTTTCCTCTTCGCTGTCTATCTGTATGACAGAGGAGAAAGAATGTTATTCGCTCTTTTTCATTCTGAATCGGCGATCAAGACTGCAAATGCTTTCTCAACGTGAATCTAACAATGAAACCACGCGAAATAAGCAATACAGATGTGTACCATATTTGAACAGTTTGTACAAAGGGACTACCAAAGTACAAACGTTGAATATTGAGTGTAAATGTCCAACCATTCAAAGATTATTAATAAAAATTATTTCAACGTCCCGCATAGACCACCTAGACTGATGTGGCACGATCTCGAAACATGTATTAAATGTTACACTTATCTACAAGATAAATCAAAATAGTTGAGATATCTTTTTATTCTATATAATAGATTACTGATTGCACGTCCGCTCGAACAAAATATATTTTTTCCCATTTCTGTATGTCTCGCGCAAAAATAATGGATTCTCTTTGTTCTTTCCATCGGAGTTCGCATCGTAAGCGGCACATATCTAAGGAGCACCGACGCTCTTACGAACGAGTTACATAGGTGCTTATATTTCGAAATTTCCGAAGGCGGTAAATTATCTTTCGGTCATCTATTCGTTTAGCCGGTGAGGGAGAGAGAATATCGATCTGTCGAGGCACGCCGCGTGCTGCTCCTTAGGTCATGAATGCAAGGAGAGCCAGCCAAGAAATTCGTTACCCTTTTTGTTACCTTCCCGCCAGACGCTCTAAATACACCGTGTGCCACTAACGACGCCGGCTCGTTACTCCTTTCGTGTATATCGCTTTCGATCACCTTGGCCTAAGGGGCCCATTCTCGCGTTAAAATTGCTCTACCCCCTCCTCCTTCCTACGGTTTACTCACGTCCCGTAGGTACTCGCAACCGACTCTCTCGTCTTCGCCGCCGATCGAGAATGGGATACGGAACCGACAGAGCCTTTTATACGATTTACCGAAAATTGTCTGAAGTCGGATATATACTGAACGAACGAAAAACGAACGAACAGCGAATGTGTAATATGAAGATGTATATTTGCGTCTAAACGCGCAACAAACTTTCCTTGATAAACCACATTATGAACAAATCGGTCCGAAACGTTCTGTTCGGATTCGTTATGACGCACACATTTCTCAAATTGTAACAACGAAAACTTGCATTCGTTGTTCGTTC